CATGGTTCAGTTGGTAGAACCAAGTCTTCTCGGATAAGGACTTAAAATGGAGGTCCAGTGTATACATCTGGCTCGTGTGCACTAAGAGTAGGGGGTTACCCCGATGTTATGGATCATTTCAGCCCTGTCGTCGTGGAATGATGTGAACATGTATCTGCCAAGAAGCGCCTCTTTACGGCTGTGAGGTAGTCACGGACCACGCCCATATGCAATTCAGCACAATGACGCTGCAAGTTATGGGTTATTCTCCTACCTTTAGTCCCTTTGACCACACTAATTATCAATTTTGAGAAATCTAATTTAAAAAAAAAAAACACAATGAAAGATACCTGTAGATCTATATTTTATAATATACAATCTGATATTATACATAACAATAAATAATAAATAAATACAAATCTCAACTGATGGTTATTTGGTTCTGAGAAGAACCGTTTAGATATGTAATGTCCCAACTTTTATATGCTGCATGATTATTTGCTTTGAAATGGGGAAACTCGCATAAATTTTTCAATAAAACGAATGGAAAGAATAGGTTGAGTTTATAAAAATGGACCAATTTTCAAGCTGTATAACACTTTCACATTATATTACAACAGTACCAATAATTGGAAATGGAAATGCAGTACAATATTACAAACAAGATTCCAATTCACATTCTTCTTCATCTCTGTCCAAGTTGTTCTTGTAATTTTTTCATAATATCCTGCATTTCATCTTTTGCTTCTATAAGTTTAGTTAGGTCTGCCTGTATAGTCTCTTGAGATGTTTCAAGATAAGTGTTTGCGTCTAAATATCTTTTGACTTTCTCAAATTCTCTTGAAACTTCACTGTTTTCATTCAAATTGTCGGTTAATAATAATATCTGTCTCTCTCCTAAGTTCTCGTTAAGTTTCACCTGTGAAGATGTTGCTTCTGAAAAATAAGTAAAATTAATTAAGTTATTGTATAAAAAAATACTCCCTTACACCACCCCCACCCCAGTGGACTAAGGATGGAGGAACAGGGAAAGGTAGAGGTGGAAAAAAGAAAGACAGGCATTCAAGAGTCTAATTGTTTCATTCTAACCTCCACTACCTTTGGTACCACAAGCATCATTTACAATATTGTGTAGTGCTGAGAAGGCTGTATCTCCATCATCTGCAGTTTTAAGATCTTCCAACATGTCCTCTGTAGATGGAGTCTTCGGCCTTTCCGGTAGTGCTGGCAGTGGTTTGCTAGAATATGCCATACTTTCAAACAATCACATCAAGTCAAGCAGATGGATTTTGTTTTCTATAAACGAAGTAAAACCAAAACACATGCTTATGTACTTTAAACTCAACACTAAGACTACTTAATAACTACGGAAAATGGAAACAAGATTCACCCAGTTATGTACTGTATGATGTAACATCATCAACAACTGTGAACAGGGGAGGGGGGGCAAAATCTTTCCCCATTGAAGATGCCCTTATCACCCCGGAAAGTCCCTGAAATTCTCAAATTTGGTTTTTTGTTGGGCTAGGCCAATTTCCTCTAAAAATTGCACATTTTAGAGAGTTTTGCTCAATTTCAACGAAATTAGAATTAAAAACACAAAATTCTTCCACACGCTTCAAGCGCATTTTTTAAGGGTAAAGCTTGTGCTTGCCTCCTTTGCCTTCTAAGTTATTTAAACACATAATGGTCCCAAACTCAAGAAAGAAAATTGAAGGGCCTCAATGTGTAATGATGGTGAAAGAATATGTTTGTAATAAATAAAGCCATAATGAAAATGCTTATAGTCAGTTTAAAAAAAACGAGTGTGGCCATATAAAACATAAGCGCATTTCTTGTTGAGGTAGGCCAATTTTCTCTAAAAATTGCACATTTTAGGGGTTTTGATCAATTCCAACGAAATTAGAATTAAAAACACAAAAATTTTTTGCACGCTTTGCACGCATTTGTTAAGGTTAATGCTTGTGCTTTCCCTCCTATGCCTTCTAAGTTATTTAAACACATAATAGGCCCAACTCCAATAGAAAGAACATTTAAGATAGATCGTTTTACCTAAAAGAAGGGCCTTAATGTGTATTTATTGATGGTGAAGGAATGTGTTTGTAATAAATAAAACCATGATGAAAATGCTTATACTGTGTTTAGTTTCAAACACGTGTGTGTGTGGCCTACATTACTGTATATTATAAATAAGATAAGCCCTATGTCATATTGTTTTCTATATGGTGGGGGGGGGGGAAATGGTGGGGTATCACACCCGGTAAATTACTAACTGGGAAAATTATTACCTTTACTCCCCCTGACCCAAGACCCCTGTTACGCGCCTGGTGCGGCCTGACAGCGATTTTTTGCAGCCCGCGAAAATGAATTAAAAACCCTATGTGTGCTGCCCGCCAAGCAACACTGGCTAGAAAACACCTTGTTTTTTAAGGCCTGACATCGGTTTTATGTAAAAAAAAAAAAAAAGCAACGTTATTAAAACTGAGAATAATAATAAAGACTTTAATTTAATGTGGTGTATAAAAGCAGTGGGTTGAGGGTTTGGAAGCTCAATAGAAACATTGAAGTTTGGATGCGGTCCTCAGTGCTAAATAAAAAAAAATCACTTTGGCCCTCCGACCGATTTTTATGCCCACCCCTGCTCTAGACTTAGCCGGACTCTAGGCCTATAGCCATAGCTTAGTAAGCCTAGCCTAGCTAAGCTAGTAGGCCTAGTTAGGCCCTAGCCTAATAAGTAAGGCCTAGGTTACCCTACCTAACGTTCGAGCGTGGGGTTTAGGCCTAGCCTAGTCAATAATAAATTAGTGATTCTATTATGAAATATATTAAGGTCAATTTGAAGGAAAGTTGGAAGCAATAATATCAACTTATCATAACAGCGTAAAACAAACCCAGAAAGCTAGGCTACCGTCTGTGCAGCTGAACTTTCATATACACGACGACGACGAACGTTATATGCGTAGCATCCCGTGAAATAGTCTCATTCTCGTCCATAGTTTTATTGCGGTATGGCACGATTTTCAACTGCGATTCGAAATCGTTTACAGACTTTTACAATACAGTGTTGGATCGGTCTTTAAACGTAACTCACGCTTTGTGAAAGTTACATAGGCGTTTAGAAAACTAAATATTTTGCTGTATATTTGATTCTGAACATCATTCAAGATGGTAAGGACTTTAAAATATATTGTAGAATTATATTTTGATACCACGTTTCTATTAAAACTCTTCATGTATTCGAAATTTAGGACAGATTTTTCGCAGAATGTTCAACATACTTTAGGCCCTAAGTTACTACTAACTAGGCCTAGGCCCTACCTAAGTTAGGGACGCGGCCTAGGCTCTGATGTGTTACTGCTAGGCAGGGTTGACCAGAATGAGGCTGTAAACTAGGCCTAGATTAGACCCTACCGCCCGTCCTGGGCAGGAGGGCCAAAAAATGTAGGCTAGGCCTAGCTAAGCCTTGACATTGGAGCCCAACCATTAATTCAATATTACATTTCATAAACGCAAATAGAGAAATTTATTAGATTATCACTCCCGCCAGGGCTCGAAATTCACGCTAGCAAACTAGCAATTTGCTAGTAGGTTTGTCATAATTGCTAGGTAAAAATTCACAAACCAGCAAATTAAAAAAAATGATTGCTAGTTGAAATATCTATACAAAATATCTTGTAATTAGCCTAGTAAGATGTGTATAAGAGACAGCACTGTGAGCGACAGTAATACAAATTTTATTAAATTTATTTATTTCTTTTTTAATTATGAAAATCGACTAAAAATGCCTATAATCGACGAAAAACGAACATTTTTTTCATCTTGAGCACAAGATGTGAAGTGCGCCACCAACAGTAATTTTTTAAAACCTTGCATTGCTTGCATGCATGCAAGAAGCTAAGTAGTAAAGCAGTGTGTAGGGAAAAAAAATCGCTCACATGTGTTTGTTGACGAAAGTAACGGGCGATGCAATCGGTAGTTAAGGCGAACATATCTAATTTGGTTCTTTTTAGATAATAAACAATGTTTCAGATATGATAATAATAATTTACTATGAAGCTTAGAAAAATAATAGGTTACAACCTAGGCTTCAATTGGCAGATGTTTTAGGCCTAG